CGTAGGCGAAATCGAGTTCACTTCAACAATCAGATACTGGTTATGCTTGACGTGATTTTAGACTTGATATTCTCTTAGGGAGATAGCATAAAACTGAACCCACTTAACTTCTGAATGCACGAACGCTAATAATGACAATATCTTAGTCCAGTAATGCTTTGCACAGAAGTTCTGACTTACTAATTGTCGTAGTACCACCTAAGAGGGAAGCGCCAGATCCAGTCTTGAAATCTTCGGCCACGGGAATCCCATCTGATGGATTTAGAAGACGGCAATCTGGATCCACACCACCAGGGAGGACATAACGTCCACTGGCATCGATCACTTCCACATTTTCATCCACTTGAATATTTTGACCAACTTTTCTGTGAGGAAAATAAAATGCGTGCAAGTTGAGAAGAGAAACTCGCACTATCCTTACTTGATTTCTTCGTCTTCGATCAAAATGTCCGCTTCCAATGCACCATCATGGTTTACTATGATGCCATTTTTGATCAAGATTTGATTCTAAAAGATAAAATGTACCATATCATTGATGATGAAAATGAGACACAACGACATACGCCAGTGGCCACCATCAGTAGCTAGCGCGCAGAGAAGTGTGTGTATATGGATGCATGGGATAAGGGCTATGATGCCTCTCTTGCGCACACCAATCAGATGTGAGCGTAGAAACAACCAATGAGCTGACGGCTTGGGCCAAAACTAAGACAGGAGGCACGGCCGCACTTGCACAAGCGATGACTGATCCGACGCACCTGTTTCGCTTTCCCATGAATGATTCGCCCGCCGCTATTGGTCACTTTGTTATCGTCCTTGCAAAATCAAAACCAGGACTGACTGGCATTCGAAATGTGTGAGTCGATAGCCTTCAATATACACTTCACTAAGTTCGGGAGAGGGTGAATAGATCAGGAAATGTTCTCGTTGTCCTCCCCAGTGTTTCCTGTAATGCAGGTTATGGAGTGTGTTAATACCCTGTTGCTATGGCAATATTGCATTCAGCTCGTGAAGAGTTGCTTTTATTGCAAAGCACGCTAACCTCTTCTTCCTGCTGGTGCGAGGAGTAAGCCAAAGCGGTTTTGGTGTGGGTGCAATAAAGGCACCTCTTCGAGGCCAAGTCGTGTGGAGTAACAATTGAAATTTTATCGTCACCAGTTTTACAGGATACAATCTTTTGTAGATAAAAACTGATACGTTTTTTACCATCGGTTTGCCTTGTTACATGGACCTCCTAATCTTGAGGTTGTTGTGCTGATACTAAACCATCCAGGCGTGGCTTACCATGGCCTATGGACCACTCTCAACTAATTGCCATTGGATTATTCCAGCCGGGACAACATAAAAGCTCTCAGAAATCCGTCCTGCTTTCCATTCCATGGTCATCTTGCCACAGCCCAGTCGGCCATCTGGGTTATCCTTTCTCGGGTCTACCAATGCTAGTATTTACAGTTTTAACTACTCCAAACGCCTGTCGTCCTTGGGCCATCAACGAAACTGACGCGCCCTTCGTAGGATGTCAGGCATGGTTCAAGTTACTCCTAACAACAATAATAATAATAACAATAATTCATTGCTCCCGAGTCCGGAGGTGATTATGCTTACAAGCGAGCAGAAATGCTGACCGAAATTGTAGGAAGCATAAATCATAGAGTAAATAGTTTTAAGTAAAATTTTTCCATTCCCTTCCCAATTGGAAGTCTGAGAAATCTCCCCCATTTCTTCACCACATAAGCAAGCAAACCCGAAAACGGGTCACAGATGT